ATCTATAATATTATATACATTAACTAATTTAATGATATAATATAAACTACAACATTAATTTCAAAATTTTGCCATCCTATCATTATTCTAAAAAAATTACTTAAGTTAAAAGTATATTTATTAAGCTCTTTCTTAATTAATTTACATAAACAATTTATTTTAATTTTATCAATTATCTAATTAAATCATTTTACGTGATATTAATGTTAAAAATAAGATTTGCTTTTGTAATTTACTTGACCAAGAGGGAAGGAGAAAATATGAAAAAAAGAAGTTTAATAAGTTTCGATAATTTCAAATGTCTATTTCGTCTGAAAGATTTATGGTTCAAAGACAACAACATTTCCATGCTGTTACTTCATATTGGTTGATCTAACTACCATGGTCACCCACTATGCTTCTTCTCACCAAACCACCATAGGGCTGCGAAAAAAGAACAAAGGAGCGAAACAAAACCATCAACTTTGGAGAAACTAGCACGAAAAATGACTATAGATGCTTATATGGTTTGAGACCGTCTTACAATCAGCATCCGGTTACAGATATTCAAGCTACTCCACCGGTAGTATCGGTAGGCAGGGTTGTACATGCAGCTCTCGGCATGTTTTGTTGGTTTTCTTTTTTCAAACAAAGAAATGGAGAGAACTGAGAGGAAGATGAAAAACAGAGCATAAGCTGAAATGGAGAGAAGTATATCACTTCAACTCAATTTTTTCATTAACAAACTCTCCTATTTATAGAAGAATACAATCTTTAAACAATTCAAAATTCAAATAACTATTTTATATTAAAAAACAATAAATATACATTTGAATTTTGAAATGAGTAACAGCCACTTTTGCTGCTGCATGCTTGCGTCCTTTGCAGCCTCTTTGCTGCTCTGCAGCCTCTTGGCAGCTCTGCAGCCTCTTGGCAGCGCTGCAGCCTCTTTGCAGCCTTTCATTTGCATTGGTATTTAATTTTCTGTTCATGGCAGCCTCATTTCATCAACATTTGAAGCTTAGCTTGCTGCACATTTTTGCTGTCATTTGACAGCTTCATTTCCCTCATATTTGCAGCTAAATTGCTGCCATATTTGCTGAAAATTGCAGCTTCATTTGCTGTCAATTTTCAGCCTCATTGCTGCCATTTCATGGCAGTTTCAATTCATTATTTCTGCAGATTTGAAGGCCACGTTTCTGGCAATAATTCCAACATATTTCACGAGATCCTTAGGTTGAGGGAGGCAAGTAGCCAAACCTGCAATAAAACAATTGAGTAATTGTATCTTACAATGGAGAAACTAGAGCTTTGAGTGCAGATTTCAGATTAGTAGTCAGAATGGCACTT